GTTTTTTAGCAGACATGACCAATGCTAAAGCCAATTTCTCAATGTTGGAATATCATGTCTCTGCATCTTGCAAGGCCTTGCTAGCATAGTAGACAGGCCGTTCGACATTACCATCTCCTCGAATGAGAACAGAACTTACTGCCGAAGCCGATACTTACAGATAGATAATGACAGTGTCACCAACCTCAGGTTTGGAGAGCATAAGGGCTTTACTCATGTAGTCTTTGAGGTTTTTGAATGCCTCGGCACATTCATCAGTCCATGTAAGGTACTTCTCACTTCCCTTAAGTGCTTTGAATAAAGGAGCACATCTGTCTGTGGCCTTAGAGATGAACCTAGTTAAGGCTGCCACCTTGCCAGTAAGGCTCTGGATGTCTTTTGAAGTTACCGGTTCCTTCATGTCGAGGATTGCTTTAATCTTCTCGGGATTAGCCTCAATGCCTCGTTGGCTTATCATGAAGCCTAAGAATTTGCCAGAGCCTACGCCAAAGGCACATTTGTTGGGGTTCAACCTCATTCGATACCTCTTCAGAATGGTGAAAATTTCAGATAGGCTAGCGATGTGTTGGTTAACATGTTTGCTCTTGACTAGCATATCATCAACGTAAACTTCCATGTTTTTCCCAATCTGTTCGGTGAACATTGAATTGACTAGTCTCTGATAAGTCGATCCTGCATTCTTTAGGCCGAAGGGCATGACTTTATAGCAATATAGTCCCCTATCAGTAGTGAAGGCTGTGTGTTCTTGGTCCGGAGGGTTCATGAGGATTTGGTTGTATCCTAAGGAAGCATTCATGAAGCTCAGGAGTTCACACCCTGCCGTAGAGTCTATAAGTCTGACAATGAGAAGAAGAGGAAAGCTATCCTTCGGGCATCCTTTGTTTAGGTCGATATAGTCGACACACATTCTCTACAAGACCTTTTGGAGCAAGAGACTTTCTTTGGTTAGATTTTTCTTAACAATGACCACATTTGCTACCCATGTTGGGTAATTGACTTCCCGGACGAAGCCTATGCCTTTGAGTTTTTCAACTTCTGCCTTCATTGCTTCATATCGTTCAGCGTCATAAGATCTTCGCTTCTGTCTCACCAGCTTGGTCTTGGGGTCAATACTCAAGCGATGACATATGATATCGGGAAAGATGCCTGGCATGTCCTCGTATGACCAGGCGAAGACCTCAATGTTCTCTTGCAAAAAAAATATCAATGTCAACTGAATAGGTGGTGACAAGGTGGTGCCAATCTTCACCATGCAATATGGATAATCTTTTGATATAGAAACCTTCTCCAGCTCTTCAGCGAGTTGTGCTTGCTAGGTGAAAGAGTCATTTCGAGGATCGTCGGGTTAACTGTTGCCACCGTGAAGATCCAAGTTGGCTTCGTCCGGGCTTGTCTTTATGACTTGGTCATGTATAGAAAAGGTTTCCTTGGGCACAGGCAGGTGTTGTTGCTTGACCGAAATGTTGTAACATGATCGTGCACTAAGTTGATCTCCTCTGATGTAACCATTGCCATAAGGGGTTGGAAATTTCATCAACAACATATGTGTAGATACCATGGCCTTGAGATCATTGATGCCTGTGCGTCCAAAGATGACATTGTATGTCGTTAGGCAATCAACTACCAGGAAGTTAGTGGTAATGGTAGCTGTGTAAGGGCATGTACCAATGGTGAAAGGTAAGTGTATGCTCCCTATAGGTTGCACGATATCACCGTAGAAGCTTATCAGAGGAGAAATCGAGCGATCAAGCAAGTTTTCAACTACATTAAGTGCCCTGAAAGCTTCAGCAAACATGATATTGACCGAAGCCCTCATGTCTACCAAGATTCGTCTTACTTCAAAGTTGGTTATGTGAGCCTCCACGATCAATAGGTCGTTGTAAGGGTAGATGATACCTTTTTCTTCCTCAGGGTAGAAACATATTGGATCCTAGTTAGGCTTTTGATATTTGCCTCCCCTGATATCTTCCACGTGAAACACTTGGTGGCCAGGCCTTAAAGCTCGTTCGCTGTTTTTCATGGCCCTATTAGAAGATTCAGATATGGGTATGCCGCCGCTTATGGAATATATCACGTTCACTTGGTGTTGGTTAGGTTATCCCTTAAAGGGTGAAGAAGGAATCGATCAATTTTTCCTTCACGCGCCAAAGCTTCAATATGATCCCGAAGGGTGATACACTTCTCGCTGCCATGGCCGTTATGCTCGTGGTAGCAATAAAACGTGCCCGTGTTCTTCGTGGGTTTGTAACCCGACTGCCTCGGCATTGTCTTCGGTATCAAGTGTGTTATGCTGGGGTAAATGGCCACGCATGTGGCGTTGAAAGGTGTGTGTATGTCTCATACCTCGGGGTAGGGCCTATCCTGACACGTGTTTAGCCCACTGTGTTGACTGCCTAGGGGCGAGCATTATCATGGCGATACCCTTGATTATCGCGATAGTGTCCTTTACTCCTTTTACTAAAATGGGACTGGTGAGAATGGAAATCTTTCCTTTTGCCCTGAGATTGATATGTATGTTGACTTGGTGAAGTATTAAGTAAGGAAAAATGAGGCACTGCTGCCGTTTGGAAGGTCAAGGTCTTCTCATTTGGTTGGATCTAGCTTCCACTCCCAACTTGCTGATAAGGGGTGGCTGTGGGGGTTTCCCTTGAAATGTCCTTACCTTAGCGGAGGCATGGTTGTAAGCATGTGCCATCACCTCAGAGTAAGTCTTCCAAGTGTTGTCATTGATCATGTACTTGAAGAAACAATCACGTAGGCCTGCCGTGAAGGCTTTGAGGGCAGTCTTGTCGTCTGCCTCGGCACAACGGGAATACTCATAGCTGAAGCAGCCAGCATACATACGTAATGACTCGTCTGGCTTCTAGCGAATAGTGTACAAGTCATCCACAGAGTGCAAGCGATCGGTCTAGAAAATGTGTTGAGAAACAAACAGTTTCCTCAATTCCTCAAATGAGTCTACTGTCTTAGCTGGAAGACGACAATACCAGTTTAGAGCTCCGTCAGAGAGGGTGTAAGGGAAGAGAAGGCATCGCTCTTCGTCGGTGTGCATCCGGTATGCCATGGTGGACTCAAATAGGTTAAGGTGTTCAATCGGGTCCTTCTTTCTAGTATAGAGTTGCAAGCCAAGCTTCTGCTTTGTCTTTGCTTGGATGGGGGGTGTCAAGGATCCTCCTTGTAAGAGAGCCAGGCCTAGGTTGGTTCCAATCAAGTATCTCAGCTTGTCGTTCGACCTTCAACTTGTTTACTTCCTTAAGGAGATGTAGGACAAGAGGGTCCTAAATGGAGTCATGTACCACTGGATCTTTCTTTCGATCTCCTCTTGGAAGTAGGAAGGTTTGATCAAGAGCATGTGATTTTTCCCTGGACTCGCCGTACTGACTTCCAAGGTATGTCTATCGGAACATCTTTGAGTCCCCTATACCTTCGTGTTTCTCTAAGACTTGTTGCCCCTTCCCCAAATTGGTAGCCGGCCTGGGACATGGGAGGGGACCGAGTCTTTCAGAGACCCTTGGGTCATTGATCTTCGAGCTTACATGGATGGGATTGTCTCGACGTTGCTTTAGGAAGTCTCGACAGTCGCGAAAGACGGTTTTCGATCCTTTCACTCCTTCTGTAAGGAGGTGTCTTCCTCCACTCCTCCTGCTTCGGGTCAAAGCAACTAGGTTGAGAGAAGTCTCATGTTGGTCGCCATTTCGATGAGTAGCTCGCTTCTCAACGGGAATACCCATGTCGAGGGCAAATGACCCTCCATGTTGGGGGGCACCCAGTTGATGGTTGACTTCCATAGGGGTGATGAGCTCGTGTGTTTTAGTATATCTAGCCTCATGGAGCATCTCGAAGACCTTCTTATACTGCTCTTAGAAGATCTCATTCTTCATCGTTATCTTGTTGTTCTGAGCCTCCAGCTCATCGACTTTAGCCTGAAGAGCAAACTTCTTTTGTTCCTTCTTTCGTTGCTTCGCACCAGGTGCAAGATGGGTGTCATTCTGTGTGTTGTGGCTTCCTTCTCTCCCCATGTTGGAAAGGGATGTCTGGTCAAAAGAGAGTGTACGAATGGTGGAAACCAGCTTAACAAAGTTGAAGAGAATGGGAATAAATGTCGTTCCCACAGACGGCGCCAAATGTTGATGCACAAAATCAGTGAGGACTTTGGTACAATAGAAAGTGTTAGGTTTGTGACCTTCGCTAAATTGTTCCGGTCACTAGTGTGGATAAGTATGTAAATGGATAGAGACAGGGAAGCAAACACAAAATGTACGTGGTTCACCCAGATTGGCTACGTCCACGGAGTAGAGAAGTTCTCATTAATTGTGAAGGGTTTACACAAGTACATAGGTTCAAGCTCTCCTTTTGTGAGTACTAGTGAATGATTTAGTACAAATGACATTATGAAATATTGTGAGAGAATTATCTCTATTTATAAAAGAGAGTTTCTAGTTTTATTCTGACATTGACACATGTGTTGTGATTGGCTTATGATGTTAACACGTGTCGCGCTATGATTGGCTTCTGATGTCGACACGTGTCGCATTGTGATTGGCCTCCTGGTTGGAAGGAAACTCTTCTGGGTGGGTCCTTGACGGTATAATGTTGACCGATGCTCAGTAGTTTCGAGATTGATCAAGTATAATACAAACAAAGTACATATGCACTTACAGCCTGATACTAATTAAATGCACCTATATTCTCAAAAATATAATTGAGTCAGCCAAACCTAATACAGAAGATCCTGAACTTTGCAATGAACTAGACAACCTTGTCTTCAAGTTCTAGAACCCAACACAGAGTAGTCACTTAAATGTAGAAGTCAACAGAACATGCCACCACATATATTCTACTCGCCCGACCAAGCTTGATTGCGAGTTAGCACACCCCTATTCACAAAGACGTAATTAACTCATAAGTTACTCGGCATGAGCGTCGTGTAGGCTCCAAGTCTTAACACATACCAAATTATTGTATTATTATTATTTTATTTTTTATCTAAGATACGATGGTTGGATCATAGTTTTGATTGGCATCGAAACAATTTAAAGTACAAATAAAACTTAAATACATTTGATGTAGAAGCAACCCAACCCGCGTTAGTAGAATTAAAGAAGGAACGTTCTCACACAAACAGTAGAAGGAACAATTGGTTGGCGAAATTGATTACAATTATAACACTGATTTTACTTGACTTGTTGCATATCCTCCTCCGTCTTCCAAACAACATCCTCCAGGCCTGTTGCGAGGTTCTTATAGAACTGCAAAATTCAAAAACTACGAGTTTCACTATCAAACTTACCTACTTAAGCCTATTCCTTTGTCAAGACTAAAGACATATGCTCTAATCACTAATTTTACATACGGCGTTGGTGTTGGCGTTGCCCACCATGCCGGTTAAACATATTATGAGATATCAAGCAAATTAAGCGAAGAGCGTTACCTTGTGGAACTCCAAGGTGTCCCCTTTAGCTTTTCGCACTTCGACCATGTGAAGAGAAGGTGCAACTTGAAATATCTGATCAACACAGCAAGCGATGTGTTAAAAACAAAATATAAACGACACTGATCCAACTTTTTAAGCTCAATAGAACTTTCCATGTACCTCTGTGGCAACATTAAGGTTTCCCTTTCTTCCAGCTTTCATATTTTCAAGCCTCAGCTGAGAGAACGAATATAAAATTTGTTATCTTCTTAACACACCACGCACGCACACCAAATAGCTCAAATCCTTAAATTCCAACTTCTGCATCTTCTCACCTTGTAGTTTTTTTTATGCACGTCAAAACCAAGAGGCTTAGCAGCTTCTTCAATTTTATGAATTATCTCATTGGCAGGGCATTTGGATGTGAACCTTGTTTCTCTCTTAAATCCCTGCAAATTTTGAACAAAACTGAAGTTTTATTTTCCCATAGGACAAAACAATAGTAAATAATATCAGAAGAAAACAAATGCCTTTCATACACAAATGACATTTAAAAAAAAAATTATTTCAACATTTCACAATGCATGCAGTCCCCATAAAGTGTTACAGGCATAAAACTATGCACAGCACATGTTGCTAATGAAAGCCAGCAAGCCCTCTAATGAAGCAAACCTGTTCTACATCAAACAAATTCCCAAGGTTGAGCCCCTTCGACATTGAAATTAACTCAAAAGCATTCATAGCTACTGGTTGTTCTTCCTTTTTTTCCGTCACATGGTGCTCCTGTCATGAAGCCAAGAACACGTATCAGACAACTTTTAGAACAGCAGCACTTCCTTCTAATTCTTAACTTTTAACAATGCTTAGCAACCAAAGACGTAAATAAAAACCTTAATACTGATTATGAAAAAAGCACTTGCACATACTTCTGAATCCTTAAAAACAGCTTCTACATCATCCAAGTTTGTATTTTCTTTCTCCTCAAACACGGGTGCCTTGTAATCCTTCTTGAACCATTCATCTTCCAAAATTTCAGCAATAGTGACACGCTGCCATAACAAATGAAATCATAGTCACCAACTAAATATTTGGTGGTAAGAGCACATTCAGGGTAATTCAATACAAAGAATTGGTCTGTGATGAATTCAGTGTTCTGGAAACCACTTGAAGAGTGCCACGAAGCAGACACTTTTCTTGTCAAGAAAAAAGAAGGCTCGGGAAAGAATTAACAGCATCTGGTCATATACATGCTCAATATACTCAAACAATCAGATTGATGCATATGAATTATGAAGAAAACCTTGCCCTGCTTTGAGCACTACCTCAGCAATCTTCGTTTTGCTTTTTATCATGCCTCACCAGTATAAACATCAAATACATAAAAGATAAAATTATCTGGAATTCTTTAATGCTATGTTTGGATGAGGAACTTCTAAATTCTTATTGTAACCTAAGTCCTATGCACTATAAATAGGACTTAGGGTTAGTGTATTTAGTGTGGCTCATTCGTGTGGCAATTTGGTGAGAGTCAATTTGTGAGTTTGTGAGTTAGATAGCAATTTGGGAGAATCTTCTCTGTTTGTTTGAGTTCTCTACTCGTTTGGTTTAGGGTTTGTAATTTGTGGGATTTGGGTTGTGAGAGTTTAAACACTCTTTTGTAATCTCCATTTGTTTTGTGAAATTCCTCGCCGTGCTTCGCTCGTGGACGTAGGCTTTACGCCGAACCACGTAAATCTCGTGTTAGTTTGAGATTGTTTGTTTTAGCTTTCACCTACGACGTTGATATTGGTACTTTGTTAGAATTCGCTTCCGTTTGCGCATAAAAGTACAACACATCTAACATTATGTTTTAAAATGAATATGAATCACCACCATGTGTAAGTTACGAAAAGTGAAGCTATATTATCAAATATATCAATTAGCAGAAAGGCCACAATCTTATCAACAGAATGTGCATAAACTACTTACAGTCATAGGGTTAGGATCCAAAATTCGAGCTATTAATTTCATGGCACCAAAAGAGAGCCACGGGGGACAAGTAAACTCAGCTGCCGAGATCTGCATACATAGCAAAAGAAGATAATAAACTGAATATGAACAACGACGATATGTAGTTGCCATACAGAATCAGTAAAATGCTCACTTTTTTATACAGGTTCATAAGATTCGAATCATCAAAAGGCAAGTAACCTGCAAGCAATACAAAGAGTATCACTCCACATGACCACAAGTCCGCAGTTGCCCCATCATAGCCTCTATCGTTAAGGACCTAAGCTCACAGGAGTACATTTTTGCATGATTAAGGACCAACGGTGTATAAAGATAAATATATATAATGTGGAAGAAGATTGGAATGAATACTTATCCATACCTCAGGAGCAACATAATTTGGAGTTCCACAGGTGGTGTGAAGTAACCCATCATCCTGCCAATGCGTCACAGTAAGAAATAAATTCTGAATATTTAAGATGCATCATCTCAATCCCAAATGCACCAATTACTAGAACAAGATGTGAATGTGCATCGCAGATTACAGTGTTGATGTAAATGATAAATGAGGGAGAGACTAAATTCCATATAACTCCTATCATATAAATGTTCTAACAATTTTAATAATTTCTAGAGATTTGACACCTGCTTCTGCAAATAGTTACTTAAAGATATTTATGCCGACCATCCAGACAACAAAACTAACATCAATAAGATAAAACGATAGTTATATATGAATGATGAAAGAAAGTTAATTGCAGATGGCCTAATATCATTTATACCCTGACTTGTTGGGATAGTGCGCTCAATCCGAAATCAGAAACTTTAAGGTTCCCATATGCATCCAATAGCAAATTTTCTGGCTGCAAGAAAAGCAATGAAAATGAAAATTTATTAACATTTTACTGTATTTATCTGTGATATGCACGTTTACTAAGCATAAGTACCTTGAGATCTCTATGATAGACGCCTCTGCTATGGCAGTAATCAACTGCATTAATAAGCTGTTGAAAATATCTCCGTGCTTCATCTTCTTTCATTCGTCCATTGTTTACCTTCATATCAAAAGTACTCGTGAGAAAATATGAACTCTCTCCCAAATAATCAGCGGAGCTTGAATTTGATTGGGTCAACAGATCCATGTACACAAATTAGTGAGCAAGGCAACTTGGTAATTGAAGAGAATTTAGGCTAAATGGGAATGTTAGACTGCAGTATTAATTACAGTATGTGATTTATTTTAGTAAATTGATAATAAACCATTTATAGAATACAACTGGAAGAAAATGAAGACACTAACAATTTTGTCAAAGAGCTCGCCTCCAGTTACGAACTCCATAACTATAAATATCTTTGTCTTACTCCCCATTACCTGAAAATACACAAAATTATTAATACAGTTGCATCAAAATGTAGCGCCACTTTTACTGGTAGTAAATGGATTCATCTTTCCCTTACAGGACACTTGTATTTGCTCCATATTGACATGAGGAGGGTAGAATCCACAGAAATGAGAGTATTTAACACTCTACCCATTAAAGATTAATACATGCAACGGAAATTGGTGACTAAAGTCTTGTTAATAATCTCAGCTGTAAATTATTAACAACTTCTTATAAAGGTACCCGCAACGTGATGTAAGAGGATATAGTTTTAAACATTATGGATCATGAACCATAAATAAGAAAGAATTGGCTTCCCTAATAAACTTCAGAACCTATGGCTAACAATTGAAATCCAAATTATCAACTACCAAAAAATACAACGAACCAGAAGAGGAATTAAAAACTTAAAGATGACACTGAAATTGAAATGTCACAGTTCAAAATAAAATCTGATTGGATTAGATTTTTAACAACGGGCAAGCATCCTTTAAGGCACGTCTTGAAGGGATAGTGTAGCAACTTTAGGGGAAAAACAGAAATAAGTTGGCCATATTCCCACATTAAATTGTGAACATCCATATACCAAGAAGACCTACTTCAGAGAACCTGCAAGGTGAATATAGAAAGCAAACAGACCACATGCTCATGCAAGTAGAAGCAGAAATGCATATATACAGATAGAGATTGAGAGAGACCTCATACAACTGAACAACATTTGGATGCTTAATCAGCTTCATTGTTTCTATTTCCCGCTTGATCTGCGCAAATATGAAAAATAACACACTTAAAAGGACCTTGTTTAAACTCACTCCGTTTCCTGGATGAAGCTACATAAAAGTTTCGTTGGGGAGTTGTCTAGAGTGGTTTTGAGGATAGGAAGCAAGAATCCATATAAACCAATAAATAACATGAAAAACAAAAACAAGTACAAGACGGAGAACGAAGAGAAAGCGCAAAGCAAACAGACCTGTTCTGCCATCTTGTGCTTCAGAACCTTCTCTTTGTCAAGAATTTTGAGAGCCACAGGCTCCCCAGTCTCAGAATTTCTAGCAAACTTGACTTTTGCAAATGTACCCTCACCGATTGTCCTTCCAATCTCGTATTTACCAACCCGACGCTTGATTTTCGGTTGATTCATTCTCGACTTAGTGATTCAACGTGCGGGTTCCTGAGAGAACTTGCGTGAAAGATAGATGAGTGAATTTTTTTTGTGACACTGTAATGAAATGAACAAAGCGAGGAGCAGAAACACTAGAACCATATCATCAAGGGAATTGCAATTATATCATCACAGTTGAGATCCGAATCCTGATCCGAACTCTGGTAAATTTAGATTGAAAAACCAAACCATGCAAACAAGAATTCAGACAAGAACAATACCGTCCACAAAAATCACAAAGAAAACAATCAATCGAAGCATCCAATTCCACTACTAACCCAAAATTAATTAAATTAATTGTATTTATCAATTCAAACATGGAGTTGCAGCAGCAGCAGAAACACAAGCCCAGTACCGGAAACACAAACAAGGCACCCAAATTGCAAAAACCCTTGCAAACAGAGACAATAAAATCTTCAAATTCTTCGGGAGCAGCTCACAGACTGAGCGATGATATTATTTATGCATCTATGACGTGAACCAACAACCACAATTCATCAAATATATATTTAATTTAATAAATTAATAATACAAGGAAAAGGAATTAGACGAAGAAATAAATAATAATAATTCTCTTTATTATTAAAGAATATAATACAATAATCATCACGTTCCCGTTCACGTGGATGGTCATATTATTATTGTAAACAAAAGCGATAAAAAGTCGAAAAGAAAGACAGAGGGAGACAATGATTCAATACATACTTGAACAGGTTATGACCACAATCAATCCGCCGCCGCCCCCGCCGCCTGGATTTCCGTCCGTCCTTCCTTCCTTCCTCCTCGGCTGCCTGGAAATGCAATCACTTCACTTTTCACTTCACTACCAGACAACTCAATTACTAGTAGGCTCACCAGACTAGACTCGATTCCTTCTCTCTTCTATCACTTTTCTTTTTTCTCTTTTTTTTTTTTCCTTTTCACTTATCTTTGTATTTTTGTGTATATATTATAAAATAAATTATATATTATATTTAATGAGGAAAATGAATAATTGCGTCCTGTATGGGACCCAGACCAGGTCGAGGTCCATGCGTTGTGCGTTGTGCTTTGTGCGGTGTTGTACACCACAGTACAGCTTGCTTTCGCATTCTATCCGACTATCGACTATTGTATATAATATATAATGTGGTTTTTCGTGTTTAATTGTAAAAAAAAAATCAAAATGGTATATAACCGTATAATATACAATGAACGGATATAAGAATCATAAGAATTATGGACAGAGTCAATAAAGACCCACTAAAAACATATGCCCCAAAAGCACTTTTGTTGTGTCATTCAAACTAAAAAACTTTTCTCCTGCTTTTCATGTTTTAATATTTTCTCATCAATTTGTCACTTTTCATTATTACATTGAAACTTTTGTAAAACATTATCATTTAAAATCATTCTCATTATCATATTAAATATAAGTCATACTATAATAAAATTTTCTAAGTTATTTTTCAGAAAGGGAAACTAATGGAAAGGGTTTGAAAATTTTAAGTTTTAATGATAATGACAAAATAAAGGGTAAATTGAATAGTACCAAGATTGACTTTTTAATGTAAAAATGTGATTTTTCCTTAAAGTAAATAGTACTAAATGCTTTTTGTAAAGTTTGGAAGCATCCCCACTAAAAATAATTTATAATTTGATTCTTAATAAAAATTCTCATTGTTAGAATCCGGATGAGATGTAAATCTGCTTTTGTTTGTTTTTCCGGTCGAAGCTTCGTTTGTTGTGGAGCTCTCTCTCTTGATAGAGGATAGACTTGTACAGGACCCAAACCTATTAAATACCCTTCTCTCTCTTCGTTGAAGTTGAAGTTGACGTCTACGTCATCACATCGGCTACATTTTTTTTTCTTTTTTTTTTTTTATGCACTTGTGTTCCGTTTCTTCTTTCCTCTCTTTAGATATTTTTTTTTCCAGACCGCTTTACTCTTCATTCATCAAAACTACATGATCAAAAAATCATTTTTCCACTCTTATCTGCAACAACAGTATAAATTAGTTTAGGGCTTTATTTTTAAATACTCTTTGAAAGTTAATTTCAATTTTATTTTGTGCTCTGTAATTCAAAAATTATTACTTTATTTCTTGAAACTTAAAATTCGTTCCACTTTATTATGTTTTTGTTTCTTCAATCAAATAACAGTTAGTTAATGTTTTGATCACAATTGTCCCTTGAAACTCGATTTTGATCCCACTTTATCCTTGAAACTCATTTAGAATCCGTTATTATATGTTTGCTCTAGTTTTTGTTGTTTTTTATGTTGTAACGGTTTTTCTTTATCCATGGGCAATGAGTTTCGATGTATTGGGAGTATCCGTATTCATAAAAGATTTACTTTTCGTGCTTATCCTAATAGTTGGTTCAATTTATGCATGGCGAAAAGGACCATCATAATAGTCTTAGCTCTTAAATAGTCATTAACCAATAAAAAAAAAAAAAATTGAGACAGTTATGACTTACATTATTTAATTTCCTTTACATGATCGAACAACCCAAAATTCAATTATTTCAAACTACATCAAGTGATCTTTCAAATTGGTAAAGACTCTCCGGTTTATAAGCGTTACTTCTTGAAATTCAATATTCGCTACACTTTTACTTGTGCACTCTCTCTCTCTCTATTCTCCCTGAAACTCAAAAGTCGTCCTCTTGAACATATGTGGGACCCACCACCAAAAAGATTATGACACATGTATCAATGAATTTCATTATAAATCTCAATTATGCGTTAACATTCAATAATAAAAAAAAATTAATTTAAAAGAAAAATTGGAGTCATTATAAACCTCCATTATGTGTTAACATTCAATAATAAAAAAAATTAATTTAAAAGAAAAATTGGAGTTTTTTTTGTTGTTGTGCTTGAGTTGCAGAGATGAAAAAAAAATAAAAAGAAACTGATTAGCCAGGTGCGCCAAAATTAAACCCACATAAAGGAATTTGCTAAAATTCCCCAGATAGCAAATCAATCTTAGAGAATAAGAGAGAGGGACAGGTTGGGTTGAAAGTAAGGAAGAAAGGAGGGAGTTCTCCCCGGCGAGATGGGGTTGGTAGACGCCAGGAAACCGTTCTCATCCTGTGGGTTTTGGTTCGCCACGTTACCTCTTTTTTTCACATATGCATTTCTTAATCCACGTCAGCATAATTGATGGCTTTTTAACGAAATTAACATAATTAAAGTAATGTGAAGCAAATTTTGAGGTTTATGGAGTAAAATGACGATTTTTTAGTTTCAAATGGCAAAGTGTGATCAAAATCGAGTTCCAGATGGCAAAATAAAATCAAAATAGCAACTTTAGTGACTATATAAAAAAGAAACGTAAACATGGTAAAATGAAGCGAATTTTGAGTTTCAAGAAATAAAGTGACAACTTTTGATTTATAGGGGTAAAGTGAGATTAAAATCAAATTCTAAAGGGTGTAGTTAAAAATAAGCATGTTTGGGCTCAAAATATTAGTTTGGGCCGAGTATAGAATTATTCTCGGCCCAGAAGGCCTTACGACAGGGTTCAGTTCTCAGGGATCGGTTAGTTCTGGACCGGTTAGGTCGTGGGCTTCCAAATCTGGGTCGGTTATGCCAAGCCGCAAGACGAGTCGAATCCTGGTGCAATGAGGAGTCTCGGTAAGATCAATAACCCGGAAGTGAATCCGGCTCAATAAAGGAATAGGTTCACAATTATGGTGAAAGTAGGACTGGTCGAGTGGTGTTTGATCAGGAGAAGGAGTCCTAATCCGAGTAGGGTTTTAACTCAACCTTGAAGGTATCCGGTGCTATAAATAGAGGAGGTTGTGCATCATTCAAGCCTCTCCAATTCAACACATAACTGCCATGCGCAAACTCTCTCAACAACTTTGAGATTTTTATTTTCTCTTTTCGCTGACACATCTTCCGTTGGCATCAACAGCACTGTGAAAGCAACCGGTGACATCTTAAACCGGCATAGATAGCTCTGTCGCCGTAGAATCAGTCGATCTCCCAGCATCTTCCGTTGGCATCAACAGCACTGCGGCGAAGATGGTTGGTTACTTATCCAAGTCTCGGTTGAGAAGGATTTCCGAATCGTTATTGACTGAGGTCATCTCATTAGCCTTCTCGACGAAGTGAGGTGTTACAATTTACTGAACTCGGCGCATTGCACGCCGAGTGATTTTATGATTAAATACTCTCAAGTGGGATTTAGAGTTCAGTATTCAGACGGCCGAACCACATTTACTATTAAGACTTATATTCTCTTTGAGTATTTGTGCCCTTACACTTTGGTGTCGATTCGGCGTGAGTTTACTCTGACGAATAACATCACTGTGACAGAATCCGACGACGGCGATTCGTGAACTTCGTAAGAATAGTAGCCTTGTCTTCAGGTTCGAGAACCCAAGAGGCCGAGACGTGTTCCTTCCTCGGTCACAATCGCAAGACGCAGAAGTCAGTCGCGCGCCCGACGCAACATCAACAAATTTACTCCTCGGCCGAGCTCGACCGACAAGTTGGCATGCTCCGCATTCACCGATGGACGTAGTTAGTTTATAGATTACTCGGCCTGCACGCCATGTAGGTTTGGTAGTTGTTAGGGTCAATATTTTGGCACACCCGGTGGGACCCAGTGCTAAACTACGAAGTTCATGCCAATTGAAACACGATCGGTAAAAAAGAAAACAGCTATGGGAAAATCAACAGCCGATTTACCAATTCAGAATATAGGACACAGTGTGCCACAGGCGCAGAATCCCATCAGCGCCGTAACACCTGAGTCCACGAGCGCGACTCGCCGACAAAGGAAAGTTAATCTCGGCGGTCAGTTTCGCAGTCTTGAAATCGCTGACAAGAACACCTGCGTTCTCAATGAAGGGATAATAGAGGATTGTGACGAGGATGGAGGCGAAGGATATGATCCACCAACAAGGTCATTTCTTCAAAAACGGCTTGACGAGCAATCTCGAACGATTGAACAGACGTTTAGTCGAGGAATCGATAAACTTCATGACGTGATACGTAATACCAGTGAGGCACAAACCAGATTACTCGAAATACTGGTTAGTAAGGTCAGCGACGGTAGGACTTTCGATCTTGCCCAGCATTTGCCACCGAGAAATAATCTACTACCAAGTGCACCGGCCAAGTCAATCCCTGCTCGGCTCAAACCAATTAACTTGAAGAAAGGAGGAGGATCGAATAGTAGGTCAGACGGATCCGACCAGAGAGTGGAAGCAACACCCGTCGATATGACTGAGGTCCAACGGATAATCGATTCGGCCATGAAGAAAGGGCCGAAGTTCCCTAAGTTTATACATTTGTATCCAGCTTATGTGGAACAGTTCGAATACCCTAGAGGTTTCAAAATCCCGGATTTTAGCCTTTTTGCCGGAGAATCATCTTTATCCTCGTTAAAACATATAGCTCGTTTCACAGCGCAATGCGGAGACGTCAATAGCGACTTTCACAAGCTGCGCCTTTTCAATTTTTCGCTGACCGATTCAACGTTTGCTTGGTATATCAACCTCCCACCGAATTCCGTCCAAAGCTGGGAGGAGTTGGTCGAGAAATTTCATGAGCAGTTTTATCGGCTGGGGATGGAAATGTCAGTATCCTCGCTAGCAAGGATGTCTCAGGCATCCGACGAGTCACCAATGGATAATCTTACCAGATTTAAATCAGCCAGGAATTGGTGCTGAGTACCTCTCCCTGAAGTCGAATTCGTCAGACTTGCTCTAAACGGTCTTAACGTCGAATACAAAAAGAAATTCTTAAGGGCAAACTTTCGAGATATGTATGAACTAGCCCAACATGTTGAGCAGTATGATTATTTGCTCCGCGAGGAAAAATTTTCGAAAGCTCCATCTCGAGGAACGATTTACAAGAATCCCACTGTCAATTATGCATCGACCGAAGATGAATGCGTTAGCGTGGATGCGGCTGAG